GCGTTGAATGTTTGAGAAACCCACACCTGTCCGGTGAAGTTGGAGAATAGACAGCTGGGGACAAAAAGTATGAGATAAAGTAAAAAGATTTTACAAGGAATAGAAAGTACTGGATTTTTATTCCAAGTTAAATGTTTGTGTTTTTGGTCTATGAGTAATAAGATATAAAATACATTTTACAAATTCAGTGATATTACTAGATTTACATTTTAAAAGGGTAAGTTTGTTTGCAGTGTAAAAACCAATCAGATTTGTGGGACAGAGTAAGCTATGTAATGTATAAAGTACAGCTTTTCCATTACCATGCAATAATCATAACACTATTATAGAGGGATTTTTTAATATAAAAATAAAAGTAATACCCACATAGAATAAGTATTTTTTTAAAAAAAAAAAAAAAAAACCTTTTTTTTGAATCACTGTGGAAGTTTTCTATCTGAATACATGCATGTGCCCAATATCTGAAAAGAGAGCAATAAATTAAAATTGTTATTTGATTCAAAAATAAACGAGAGAACTAGAGGATGACGGGAAAATAAGATTCTTCAAAGTTCTTCCTGCTGCTGAAATGTCAATATGAACAGCTATCTACATTCAAAAGTACCTTCACAAGAGGTAAGGAAACCAGGTGAGAGATCACGATACCTGACTGCACCACAATAATAATAAAAGACGCATTGAAAAGGCATTGAAGAGGGTGGCAAAGACTGTTTTCCACTACCCGTATCAACCCTCCCTGCGGCCCCAAGCAGCACACCATGAAAAGAGATACTCTTTGCTTCAGGGAAAGAGAGGAGGGTGAGCACAGGACTTTTCCCTGGACCTCAAAATGTGATCCCCACAGTAAAACTCAGAAGCAGTCAGGCTCCCATGGCCTTCAAAACCAGGTTAGATTCTTGAGGATAAACCTCCAGACCCACCTTGGTGGGAGTGGGGAACTTGCAGTACAAAGCTTAAGTCCTGTGAGACAAATTCAGTTGCTAGTCCACACCATGGCCTGGTTTCAGTGGTCCCAGGACCCAGACAGCCTTCAGTGGCAGACAGGCTTTAGCAGTCCTGTGCTTCTACTCTGCCCCAGAACCTCAATGGTCACAGAAGACTGACTTCAGCTTTGTCTCAATGCCACACTGGCTGCAGCAGACCCAAACATTGGGCATATCCAGTGCTTTGTCAACCACAATGGTCTCCAGGTTATGAAACATGCCGGACAGCCTGCCTAGAATCTCTGAATGGGCTGACTGTTGAAGGAATTTTCAGAAAACGCTAGTCTCTAATGACTGGAATGAATACCCACTTTTTCAAATGTGCTGACAATGCATGGCCATAAGGAATAAGAAAAGAAGGGAAATATGACATCATTAAAGGGACAAAACAAAGTGCTAATGATCAACCATAAACAAAGGAAGATGTATAAAGTACTTGACAAAGAATTCAAAATAACTGCTTTAAGGGGCCTCAGAGAACTTTAAAAACAAACACAGGGGAACAATTCAAAGAAATATAAGGGAGCAGAATTTAACAGAGATGGAAATGATTAAAACAAAACTGACACAAATTATTGAGCTAAAAATATAATGAACAAAATGGAAATTATAATGCAGAGCATCAGTTGCAGAATTAATCAATAGAACAAAGAATGTGAAATTGAAGGCAGGTTATTTGAAAATACACAGAAAAGAATAAAAAGGAATGAATAAAGCTTATGAGACTTACAGGACAGCATCATAAAGGCAAATTACTGAGTTATAGAGGATAAAGTAGGAAAAAAAAGGTCAAGGAGTAGAAAGTTTATTTAAATAAATAATAGCAGAAAACTTTCCAAATCTGGTGAAAGATATAACTATCTAAGTACAGAAATGTCAAACATCTCCAGATTCAATTCAAATAAGATGACCTCAAGGCATATTATAATCAAACGGTCCAAAATCAAAGACAAAGAGAAGATCCTAAAAGCAGCAAGAGAAAAGAAACAGGAAACAAAAGACAGTTTCAATAAGACTAGTAGAAGGTTTCTCAGCATAGCCCTTACAGGCCAGGAGAGACTGAGATCAGTACCTGAAGAGAGAAAAAAAAAAAAAACCCAGAAAAAAACACTTTCAATGAAGAACACTGTTCTCAGCAAAGTTATCTTTTAGAAATGAAGTAAAGAATTTTCCAGATAAATAAAGGATGAGGCAGTAAGCTTCATGAGACCCATCTTATACTTTAAGTTCTATCAATGATAGACTGTATAAAGAAAATTTGGCATATATACACCATGGTATACTATGCAGCCATAAAAAAGGATGAGTTCATGTCCTTTGCAGGGACATGGATGAAACTGGAAACCATCATTCTCAGAAAAGTAACACAAGAAGAAAAAAACAATTACTGCATGTTCTCTCTCATAAGTGGGAGGTGAACAATGAGAACACATGGACACAGGGAGGGGAACATCACACACCAGGGATGGGGGACTGGGGGAGGGACAGCATTAGGAAAAATACCTAATGTAAATGACGAGTTGATGAGTACAGCAAACCAACATGGCACATGTATACCTATGTAACAAACTTGCCCGTTGTGCACATGAGACCCATCTTATGAGAAATGATAAAGGAAGTCCTTCAAGCTCAAAGAAAAAAAGATACTAGTAAGTAACATAAAAACATATTAAAGTATAAAACTCACTGAAAAAAGTAAGTACATAGTTACATTCAGAATACTCTATTACTGTAATGGTGATGTGTAATTCACTTATATCTGTAATATAAAGGTTAAAAGACAAAACTATTAAAAATATAATTGCTATAATAATTTGTTAAGCAGTATGAAATATAAAAAGATGTAAATCATCACATAAAAATGTAAAATATTATGGAAGGGGAGTAAAAGTATAGAGGCATTTTATGTGATCAAATTTAAGTTATTATTGACTTAAATAAGCTGTTTAATGCATAATTTTTAAAGCTTCATGGTAACTATAGCAAAGACTTTAGTAGATATACACACACAAAAAAAATGAAATTCAAAAAATAAAAATATACCACTGGAGAAAATTACTTAACAATAAAGGAAGAGATAATAGCAAAAGAAGAAGAAAGGGGAAAAGGATATACAAAACAAGTAGAAAAAAAATAGCAAATTATCAGTATGAAGTCAATATATGTCAATAATCACCTTTAAAATAAATGAATCAAATTCTCGAATAAAAACACGTTGAGTTAAAGAATGGATGAAAAATAAACACAACTCAACTGTATGCTGTCTAAGAGACTCACTTCAACTGTAAAGACACACATAGAGCGAAAATGAAGAAACAGAAAAACATTCTGTTCAAATAAAATCAAAAGAGATTAGAATTCCTGTATTAGATAAAATATGTTTAAATCAAAAACTGTAAAAAGAGACAAAGAAGATCATTATATAACAATAAAAGAGTCAATTCAAAAAATAATGACTAAAACGTGCAAATTAGTAAACACATCACACACACAAAACCACAAATAATTGATATATTGTATAGGGAAAGATATCTTCAAAATTGATGGGTGTTTTGTTTGTTTGTTTGTTTTTATGGAAGCAGTAGTTTGGAACACTTTTATACCTACCGTGGAATTGTAACTTTCACAAAACTCAGAAGACACATTTCTTACAAACCCAATAGTACATATTATATTTTATTATACTATGCTATAGTAGAGTATATCATATTACAGTATATGTTATGCTGCATTATATGTTACATAACATTATATTATAAAGGTTTGATTTCCCTCTCTATACTAATATGAATATTTTTGTACTAAAGTAGTCAAATTTAATTGTGTAAACAATTGTAAAATTTAAGTCTAATTGGTACAAGTCAATAGAGGCCTATGCTATTACTCATATATTGTTAACAAGAAAACAAACATGTAAAAAAATACAATTCTTGTCTAATTTGTCAATGGTCATATGACTTCAGTAAACATCCAAAACATGCCATTTTAAGTTATTGCCTGTTAATAACTTGAGATAATTTTATTAAATATTAATAAAATGTAATGTATGACAAACATGTCATCAGGAACTACAAAAGGACTCTCATTATAAAGAAATGTTAAATATAAGTAAATAATGACATTCAAAAACCAAATTTTCATTCTCTGATAACCATAAAAGCAAAAATAATGAAGTCTCAGGACCATCCTAAGATTTCTGTTCACATATTCTGGAAGGCCAGGAATGACCTCCAGATGAGGTCATAATTGTCCAATTTATAATTTCTTATAAAATGATCTTTCTCACACTCGACAGTCTCCATTAATACATTAAGTTATGGCAGGTATTAATTAATGATGGGCCCCCTTTTCTTGACATAGTGAATCTCAAAAATACTTTGTGTCTCCCTAAATTAGGGACTCCGAGAGAATGCTAAAATCAAGAATAGGAAATACTTAAAGATTTCATTAACCTCAGAGGTAATGTCTGATTTGTTATGAAGCTGTAATTCACAACAGTCACGTTAGAAACAAGTTCAAATCAGGTAACTTAATAGAGTGTTTATCGAGTGCACCATCCAGCATGAACATTCAGAAAGTAAATAAACCCAAGTATAAGCTATTACAGGACTTGAAGTCATATTCCTCTACAGAACAGGCACTTACAATTTTAAATTAATAATCATTACTAGATATTCTGTATGATTATTTCTATCAATATGAAACTGAGCCATTCAGATAAGTGAATGTTGTGCTTTAAAATTTTCTAAATCAATTTACATGAATTTAAAATATTCCTGTTCTTATTCTAAAAATATAGCACATACATTTAATATGTAAAATGTGCAACAAAAAAGGAAGATAGCATATACTGGTGTTTCATGATGGTGATTAAATATTATACTGAAGTATTGTGTCTCTCTTTTAATGATGAATGTTATAAGTATATAGATGGTTTTACCATTTTAACTAATCAAAATATTATCGTCATCTACCAAAACTGTTCTTTTTGTTTGTTTGTTTGTTTTTTCCTCCAAGATGGCTGACTAGAAGCATTTCAAGCATTCCTCCTCCACTTGGCAGAACCAAAACAGTATGTGGACAATCACACTTTGAATACATTACTCAGGAAGGAACACAGGAGTTCAACAGAAAGTTGAAGGGAAGTCTTCAAATCTGGGAGGAAAAAAGAAAATGGGCAGCCTGAGTGGCCAAGATCAGCCAAGACCTGGGTGCAAATCCTCAATATGGAAAAGGGTGAGTGAATGTGCTTCCGTGGTCCACTTTCCTACTGTGGAATTGTGCGAGTTGAGGAACAAGGGGAGTACCTGACCCTCCCAATCTCTGAATCTAGCTTGAGAAGCAGCCAGAAGACTGTGAGAAGGAATTTCTTCAGGAGTGTTGCATGCCCTTTTATAGACCTGGGATGCCATTCTTGAGCCCAGCTCCAAGCCAACTGTGCATGGTCCTTGAGAGTAGCAGCATTGGTCCTGGCTGGTAGGGATGCTTAGAGGCAATTATGGAAATGGGACTTTACTGCAGGATGGGTTACCACAAGTAGTTCTGAGAATTGAGTGTGGAGTGAGATCTAGCCACTGGTGGAGCTGGGCACCCTGAGGATTGCCTTGTCCTGTCCTGACAAGCATGGTGCCTGTACCTACCACTAGGAGGCCTGGGTTCAAGGTTGCCTGGTTCAGCTCTGCTAAACTTCTCCCCACTCTCTGAGACAGTGTGGGATCCATGCTCATGGGTGTTCCACAAATCAATCCACCACGTGGGACACCCAAGTACTTCCCTCAGGGAACGTAGGTCAGATTTATACATCCTGCCACTACTCCCACAGCTGTATTATTATTATTATTATTTTACCTGTCAGTGCCACCTACTGGCCTAGAGGATAGCCCATGTATTTCATTACCATTATAACAACTGCTAGCACAAAAACCCTCAGGAACTACAAAAGGATCTCATGACCACTGCTACTGCCATCACCCACAACACCCCAGGTTCCAAGGATGCCAAAAGCCTACTCACCTCCTTATTGCACCACTGCTACTACTGGCATCTGAGAAAGCCACTCAGAAGCCCAGGAACCAGCCTGCTGGGAACTGCCACCTCAGGTGCCAGCATACATGACCCCAGGTCACAATGATAAACATGCTGAGCCCACCACTACTATGAATGAAACCTGAAGAGCTTTTAGGCATTCTAGTCCTCAGCACAACTTCCCCACATCCCCCACCCATGGCTGCACCCTAACTACTGAGCAACCCACAGATACCAAGGCTAGGTATAGCCAAAGAAATCTTTTTATTATTATTATTATCATTATTATTATTATTATTATACTTTAAGTTCTAGGGTACATGTGCATAACGTGCAGGTTTGTTACATATGTATACTTGTGCCATGTTGGTGTGCTGCACCCATCAACTCGTCAGCACCCATCAACTCATCATTTACATCAGGTATAACTCCCAATGCAATCCCTCCCCCCTCCCCCCTCCCCATGATAGGCCCCGGTGTGTGATGTTCCCCTTCCCGAGTCCAAGTGATCTCATTGTTCAGTTCCCACCTATGAGTGAGAACATGCGGCGTTTGGTTTTCTGTTCTTGCGATAGTTTGCTGAGAATGATGGTTTCCAGCTTCATCCATGTCCCTACAAAGGACACAAACTCATCCTTTTTTATGGCTGCATAGTATTCCATGGTGTATATGTGCCACATTTTCTTAATCCAGTCTGTCACTGATGGACATTTGGGTTGATTCCAAGTCTTTGCTATTGTGAATAGTGCCGCAATAAACATACGTGTGCATGTGTAAACTAGCCAAGGAAATCTTACACAGTCTTCATCACTGCAAAGAACCAGAGTCAAATGCCGTACCAAGTAAGTATCACAGTAATATGTTCAAGAAAAAAATCTCCTCCCATGAAAGTAATTTTAAATTAAAAAGAAGCAACTATTGCTCCAGAGCAAAAAACAAAATACTATGACACCTTCAGAGAAACACAATAGTTCTCCAGAAGTAGGTGTTAACAAAAAAAGTCATTGAAATGTCATATAATAAATTCAAAATATTGATTTTAATGAAGTTCAATGAGATGCAAGATAAATTTAAAAACCAATACAAAGAAAAAAAAATTCGGGATATAAATGAGAACTTTACCAGGGAGATTGATATCTGAAAAAAGAAAAACAAAAAAACTCACACACACACACACACACACACACACACACGTACATATATACAAAAATTCTAGACCTCAAAACTTTATCAAATGAATTTTAAAAATTTTCAAAAGCCTCAACAATGATAAGATCAAGCAAAAAAAATGTACAACTTCAGAAAAGGTCTTTTGAAATATTGCAGACAAAAATAAAGAAAAGAAATTAAAAAGAATGTGCATAGGCTTCAAGACATTTGAGACTACATCAGGCAATTGAACTTAAGAATCATATTCTCCAGGGGTAAATACAAATTAAAATATTTTGAAGACCTATTTAATAAAATAATTAATGAAAATTTCCCATCTATCAAGAGATTTAATCATCCAGGTATAGTAGGACCCATAATCCCTAGGAAATTTATTGCAAAAAGAGCTTTAACACAAATTGTAATCAGTCTAAAGTCAAAGTGAAAGAAAGAATTCTAAAATTAACAAGAGAAAAGCATCTAGTCGCTTATGAAGAAAGCCCATCAGACTAACAAGCAGACATCTCAGCAGAAATCATACAGGGCAGAAGAGAATGGGAAGGCATGTCAGAACTGCTGAAATAAATAAAACTTCTAGCCCAGAACTCTATATCCAGCAAAATTAAGGTTTATAAATAAAGGAGAAATAAAATCTTTCCCAGCCACACAAATGCTGAGGGAATTCATCACCACCAGACTAGTCCTACAAAAAATAATCAAGAGTCCTAACTAGAAATGAGAGAATAACATTCACCACTGTAACAACATATGAATGTATAAAACTTACCGGTAAAGCAATCACACACAAAAAAGAGAAATAAATCAAATAAGGGGCCAGGTGCAATGGCTCATGCCTGTAATCCCAGCACTTTGGGAGGCTGAGGTGGGCAGATCACTTGAGGTCAGGAATTCAAGCTCAGCCTGGCCAACATTGTGAAAGTCTACCTCTACTAAAAATACAAAAATTAGTTGGGGGTGGTGGCGGGCACTTGTAGTCCCAGTTACTTGGGAGACTGAGGCAGAAGAATCGCTTGAACCCAGGAAGTGGATGTTGCAGTGAGCCAAGATTGTACCACCACACTCAGTATCAAAAAAAAGAAATCAAATAATAATATTACAGAGTTCCACTGAATCAAAGATAAGTAGACACAGAAAAAAATTAAAAAAACAAGAATATAACAGGAACAAAAGCTCACATACCAGTATTAACCATAAATGTAAATGGGTTAAATGTTCCACTTAAGAGATATAGATTGATGTAACTGATGTAAAAAGTAATGATCTAACAATATACTGCTTACAATAAATACACCTTACCTGTAATGATACAGAAAGACTGAAAGTAAAGGTGTGGAAAAAGATATTCCACACAAACAAAACACAAAATTAAGAATAACTATGTTAATAGTAGAGAAAACAGATTTTAAATTGAAACCACTTTTTAAAAAGGTCATTATATATGATAAAGCTCTCAATTCATCAAGAGAATATAATAATTTGAAATATATATGTACCCATTCATATATGTACCAGATTCATAAAACAAATGTTACTAGACCCAAAGAAAGAGACAGACAGCAGTAAAATAATAGTGAGGATTTCAACATCCCACTGAAAGCCTAGACAGATCATCAAGACATAAAATCAACAACAAAAATTAACCCACTGGATTTAAATTGCACATTAGAACAAATAGACCTAATATGCATTTACAGAATATTCTACCCAACAACCACATAATACAGATAGTTCTCATCAGCACATGGAATATTCTCTTAGATAGGCTATATATTAGACCACAAAACAGGTCTTAACAAATTAAAAGCAAAACAGAAATCATATCAAGTATTTATTCAGATCACAGTGGAATACAAGTAGAAAACAATACCAAATAAATATTTGGAAATTATACAAATACATGGAAATTATAAAACACATTTATGAATGATCATTGGGCCAACAAATAAGATGGAAATTTAAAAATTTATTGAAACAAATAAAAATGGAAATACAGCTTACCAAATCTGCTGAGATATAACAAAAGTAGTGCAAAGAGTGAAGTGAGTGAAGTTGACAGCTTTAAATGCTTACATAAAAAGTAGAAAGGTTAAAAATAAACAACCAAGCATCATACCTCAATGAACTAGAAAAGCAAGAATAAACCAAACCCAAAATTTGCTCAAGAAAATAAATAAGAAACGTAAAAGATATTAAGATATAAACAAAAATTACAATATTAAGATATAAACCAAAAATTACAAAGGATTTAAGAAATAAACAGTTGATTCATCTGTTTATCTGAAGGCAATTGATAAGCTCCTAGCTAGTCTAAACAAGAAAATAAGAATGAAGATCCAAATAAACAAAATCAAATACAACAATCGAGATTACAACTGATACCACATAAATACAAAGATCATCAGAGACTATTACCAACTGTATGCTCACAAACTAGAAAACCTAGAGGAAACAGAAAAATTCCCAAACATACCACTTTTTAAGATTTATCAAAAAGAAATAGAAAACCTGAACAGACCAATAATAATGAGTGGTGAGACTGTAGCAGTTTTTAAAAATCTCCCAACAAAGAAAAGCCCAGGACCAGATGAATTACAAGCTGAATTATTCTACCAACATACAAAGAAGAACTAATAGAAATCCTCCTGAAATTGTCACCAAAAACAAGATACAAAGAGAAAATTATCCCTAACTTATTCTACAAGGCCAATATCTCTTTTATACCAAAATCAGGCAAGCACACAATGAAAGAAGAAAACTGCAGACCAATATTCCTGATTAACATAGATGCAAAACCCTCATCAAAATACTATCCAATCAAATCCAACAGTGTATCATAAAGATAATAAATGACAATCAAGTGGGTTTTATACCAGAAATGCAAGGATAATTCAACATATGCAAATCAATAAATATGAACATCATATAAACAAAAATAAGTACACAACTGATATGAGCATCTCAATAGATGTAAAAAAAACATTTGATAAAATCCTGTGTGTCTTCATGCTAAACACCCTCAACAACTTAGGCATAGA